GTCCCCCCCGTGATCTAAAATATTAAAAAAGTAACTCCGTGCCACAAGTTTTACACTTATCCTTATTTTCTGGAATTAGTTTAGTAAAAAATGGCCAAACGGGAGATGTTTCCGTCCGTTTGCTAGGTTGTCTAGAAAAAGTAGGGGAAGTAACAGGAGTATCAGATGGGGCATCATTTGGATTAGCAGGGTTATCACTAGTTGGGTTAACATCAGGAGCAGGACTAGTTGGTGTATCATCATCCGGTTGAGTTTCATCAAAATCTATTTTCTCGTCATCATTTTCATCAATAGTTGGATTAGAATAAAGAGCATTCATTAATTCATGGTCTAATTATTCACCAGCTCTAATATTATGGCAAAATTGACTTTCAGTAAATTGTAATAAAATATTATTGCTATCAAGAATAGCAGGTGTATGATGGATATGAAATTTGATTCGGGGAACCCGGAGTAGTGAAGGAGGAACAGATTGAGCACTAGATTCGTCACTCTTGGATTTTCCCTTATTTTTACCAAAACGTTTTTTTAAAGGAAGCCATCTTAATTAATAAAGTAATAGAAAATAAATAAAACAAACAAAATTATAATATTAAAACTTAAGAGTTGGAACGAGTTTACTGAATTGACGAACAACTTGTTGAAAATTGATTATCGTTGAAGATTTTAATTCACCAACTTCACAATTGTTTCACAAATTGTAACAATAAAGTAAGCAATAGTAGCAATTATAGAAGAAAATTAGAGAGAGATTGTGATAGATTGATAATTTTGTAAGAAAAAATGACAGAATGAGGGGGTATTTATAGTTGAAAATAGGGAAAAAGTATAATTATAAAAAGTTTGGGATTAAAACAAGGTTGGGGGGGAGGGGAGAGGGGGGTTAAATGACTATTTTATAAATAGCCAACGGCTATTTTTGACAGCCCAACGGCTATATTTTTTTTAAAAAAAAAAATTTAGGTCCGGTCCCAGTCCCTGGCGGGCTAAATGGTCCCGGGCCTGGCGGGCCAAATCATAGGACCGACCCACGAGACAAGCCCAGGCCCACTAAAACCGGGCCAAATGGTCATGACCCGTTTAGCCCGTTTGGCCCGCGGTCCCGGGCCTGGACCGCCCCACTTACCACCCTTAGTCGTGGGCTATATGTAGTTGTGGTATTGAAATTATTGTTGTGAAAATATTGTGGTGTATGAGCACATGTAGTGCGGGTTGTTATATTATATTGTTATATTTTGGCACATATGGTATTGTTGAAAGGATTATCGGGGTGTTTACACGTGGGTTGTCTGTGCTATTATTATTATTGATATTTGAACACGCGGCATGACAAGGCGGGCTATATATGTTGGGTTTGCTCATGTGGCGAGACACGGTGGGATAATTATTATACGTGTATGGTGAGACAAGGAGGGCATTTACTTTATTGTTACGCACGCGGCGAGACAAGGGGGCTACGTCGGGGATAATTAGTGATGACCTGGGGGCATTGTTATTGATGATATTTGTATGGTGGTGTGCCTTCCTTGTGTGAGTCATACATATTACTTTGTTGTGTTGTTTCCAATCTACCATTCGTTGTCTCTAATCTTACTTGTTAACTCGAGTTGTGATAGTACACTTGCACAAGCATACATCGTAGTCTGTCACTTATATCAGTCCAAGAATATGAACCTTGATGTTTATTGATCATTTACATGTATTCTTGTATACTTTCCTTCTGTGCGTGAGTTGTATTATTTGCACGTGAGTCTTCTGTGCAGATATGAGATATTGTTAATATTGGCATGTGAGTTGTCCATGCGGATATGTGATATTGTTACTGTTAGCACGTGAGTTGTCCGTGCAGATATGAGTATTAATTGTATTGGAACGTGAGTTATCCGTACAACACGTGAGTTGTCCGTGCGGTTGTAATTAATAATATGGGCACAAGATGCCAAGTTATTAGGGTTCGTAATTTGGGACCAGTGATTTATGATTATGATGTGTGGTACCTCGGGGTAATTCTTGTATAAACCTTATATGGAAGAGGTTATTTTATTGGGTTGTTACTTATTTTTCTTACTTGGTTTCACTAGAATTTAACTATATTGTACTTACTTTATGGCGTTATTACGTGCTTGCTCCTTGTTTCTAATTATTGCTTCATAGTTTTTATTTCAAGTATGGTAATACTATTCTCGCCATAGTTAGCCTTGTATTGATATTGTTCTCTGTTAGTTTTATATTCATACTTGTATATGTTATTATGTCTAGTAGGTGTCATGACCGTTTTTTGCCACTACTCCACCGAGGTTAGTCTTGATACTTACTGTGAATCGTTGTGGTATTCCCATACTGCACTTGCTGCATATTTTTGTGCGGATCCAGGTACCTCGGGGCGTGTTGGTCATTAGATAGTTGATCGAGTACTGTTGTGGAGACTTCAAGGTATACCTGTCTTGGCGTTCGCAGGTCTCAGAGTCACCTTCTGAAGTTTTACTTTGTACTGTTTATTTCTATTCCGAAACAGTTGTACTTAGAGATTTTCTAGCGAACTCAGTAGAGCTTATGACTTGTTCTACCGATTTTGGAATATTGTACATCGAATTTGGGTTGTTAGCTTTGTATAGAAATATCTGGTTCATATTTAATAGTTGATTGGTTAAAATCTATTATTAATTCAGTAAATGTTGGATTACCTAGTCTCAGAGATTAGGTGTCATCACGACTCTTAAGGAGTGATTTTGGCTCGTGTCAGTAACCCACCCAAAATTTGTAGCTTTCTTAGGCATGTGAGTCGAGTGATAGTTTTTACCACATTATAAAGTAATATACTGTTATTTTGCACAAAATGTCATCACCTAGGTCAAATGATGGAAAGATTAGACTTTCATTATATTTATTTCATTCATCTTATTATACACAAATAAATTGATAAATGAACAGGTAAATCAATTAGTACGTTAAATGATATTTATACAAAAACATCATTTGGTCATCTTGTATTATTCTGAATAAAGGCATGTCATCAATCATAAGTAAAAATAATAGACTCACTTTTATAAAAGAAATATTCCCTATTTGGATCTCTGGAAAGTAAATTTGTAAAAGCACGGAAGATTTCATGAATGTACAGATATCACAATCAAATTGACATATTGTTTGCTTAAAAGCACCAAAGCAAAGAAGAAAATATCCTCTTCTTTTTTACTATGGTCAATGCATTTTCAAATTGCAATCATTACTTGGAAACCGCTTTTCTATTACACAAAGTTGTTAAATTTGGATTTAGCACTTATAAATCATGGTGCCTGTAGAAACTCGCTTCACATTAGAGAAGCTAGATTGTGTATCAATGGAAATTTCTAGAGAAACAAGGAGAGAATATTTTCAGAGAAAAAAAATGATATCTATCATTTTATTAATGAGTACCTGTATATTTATATACATGTGTCGCCTAACCAACTAACATGTGCACTAATAACTAACTAACTCTAAGTTAAAATTAACTTTTGTACAGCTGAATATGAGCTGACGGCTACACATACACAGTCAGCTCTCCATATGCCAATACTTCCCCTCAAGCTGGAGGGTGTAACATGTTGAACATTCCCAGCTTGCCCATCAAATATACATATTGAGAACTACCCACGACTTTAGTTAAGAGATCTGCTTGTTGATCATTAGTACTTACGAAATGACTTTTGATGATTCTAAGTTTGATCTTTTCTCTAATGAAATGACAATCGATTTCTATATGCTTCGTACGTTCGTGAAAAATAGGATTCGCTGCGATTTGTAGTGCAGCCTTGTTAGCACTGAGGACTGTCACAGGTTGTAAAATTGGCACTCCTAGCTCTTGAAGCAGACCCAGCAACCAAATGATTTCTTTCATACCAGATGCCATGCTCTTATATTCAGCTTCTGCAGAGCTCCTGGAGATAGTCTGTTGTTTCTTAGACTTCCATAATATCAAAGAATTACCAAACTTAATCATATATCCAGTCACTGACCTTCTAGTGTTAGGACGCGCTGCCCAATCAGAGTCATACCAACAATTCAGTTCACGAGTTGGTTCTGATCTCAAAAGAACGCCTTGCCCTGGTCTCCTTTCAGATACCTTACTACTCTGATAGCAGCTTCCCAGTGCGAGAGCTTTGGGCATTACATAAATTGGCTTAAGGTCTGAACAGAGTAGCTAATGTCAGGCCTTGTTATTGTCAGGTACAACAACTTTCCCATTAGCCTCCGATAAGCACTTACATCTGCCAGTGGTTTGTCATTCTCTGTCTTTATTGCTTCATCATACTCTAGAGTTGTGAGCTTCTTGTTTGTTTCCAAAGGTATAGCTGCAGGTTTTTCTCTACTTACTCCCATCTCTGAGATCAATTCTAAGACATATTTCCCCTTATTCAGTAGGGCAATAGCTTTGGACTTCATGACCTCTATCCCCAAAAAAATATTTTAATTCCCCTAGATCCATCACTTTAAAATTTCTGTTGCAGAATCTGCTTGGTTGTGTCTACCAACTGACAACTGCTCCCTGTTATGAGCAAATCATCCACGTAAACCAAGATAATCACAATGTCTCCACATTTATTCATGGTGAATAGAGAGTAGTCATGACTGCTCTGAACAAAGCCTGCATTTGTCAAAGCCTCAGTCAACTTAATGTTCCACTGCCTAGAGGGTTGTTTAAGGCCATATAATGACTTGATAAGTTTGCACACTTTCCTCTCCCCCTGGCTTTCAAATCCCTCTGGCATTTTCATATAGACTTCTTCATACAAGTCTCTCTGCAAAAAGGTATTATACACATCCATCTGGAACAACTCCCAACCTTTTGAAGCTGCCAGTGCTATAACAGACCTCACTATGACCATTTTTGTCACAGGTGAGAAGGTCTCCTGATAATCTAACCCTTCTCTTTGACTGTACCCTTTTTCTACTATCCTTACCTTTAATCTCTCTACTTCTTCATTTGCCTTGAACTTGAATTTGTACATCCATTTTGATCATTTAGTAGTCTTTTCAGTAGGTAGATCAACTACTTCCCATGTGTTATTTTCTTCTAGTGCCTTGATTTCCTGCTTTATCGCTTCAATCCATCTAGTATCTTTAACAGCTTTCTTGAAGGTTTGTGGTTCAACAAGTGATGAAAACTTAGCAAGATAACACTGATATTTCACTGAGGTGTTTGCATATGATAGATAGTCCGATATGGGGTATAGGCTGTGTGCTTTTGGAGGATGTGTAATATAATCATTCATCCAAATAAGTTGTTTGAATTCTCTAGTTATTTTTCTTCTTTCATCAATAACAAGAATGCAAGTATCTGCTGTAGGAACTTGATCCTGATTCTGCTCCAATTCCTCATCTCCAGCACCCTGCTCATGCCTCAATTCCTCATTTACATCACCTTGTTCATGCTCAACTTCAGTAAATGGATGTTGTGAGTACCTGATTTTTGCCCCACATATGAAATTACTCCTAAAAATAATCTAAAAAATAATTTTAATTGTTTTATGAATTTTAGAAGTTTTTCTTTATTTGTTTTGCATTTATTCGCATTGTTTATGCATATTAGGAATATCGTAAATCATAAAAATTATAAAAATATTCAAATCTTAATTTCATAGCATTTTAGTTTTTAAATTGCATTTTTAGGATTTAATTGCATTGTTAAATGCATTATTTAAATATCTAAAAACCAAAAAATACATTCTTAGGCTAGTTAATTAATTAGGTCATTAGTCAATTAGTGAGTAAAATATATATAATAGTTTAGCCATACAAATTGGTTTAGTCAAGCCCATCCCTTTAGAAGCCCAATTTTCATGACCCGCCTGGCCCAACCGGATCCCCCCTCTCTTTAAAATACCCATTTTACCAAAAACCTAAAAAAAAAAGAAGAGAACGAACCCCCTCTCTTTAAGACACCCATAATAGACCCTTCCCCTGATTGTCTTTGACGCCCAACACTTAGCAGTGGCGCCCCCTCCCCACATAAAAGAAAAATCCCAGCAGCTCTGAAGAAAAAGGACTACTATCTCACCCTCACCATCTTCAACATAGAATCGGATCCCCTCTCCCCACATCTTAAAAAAGCAAGAGCCAGCAACGTTGCTGCATATTTTTGTGATTCTCAAGCTGTTCCTGGAATTAAAATCAAAGCTGTGAGTTGTCGCTGCGTATGTTTCTGGGATTCTCGAGCTGTGGGGTATAAGAAGTTGTTGATTGTTGCTGTCCCTGTGTGCTGAGTGTTCTTCTTCTTCTCTTTGCCTTTATTTGGCATTGTTTCTCTGTTTTATCTTGCATTTGATGTACACACAAAATCTTGCAATTACATTGATCTATAAAGTTGATTTGTTGATTTATGCCAGAATATGTCGAATAGATTCTATCGAGCTCGAAAATTTATTGTTCTTATGCATCTGAAGACTGCTTTCTTGGTTCGGTTTGTATGTTTATAAATTGATCGAAAACTATATGAATCTGGGTTGTTTGCAGAATGGTTATATAGAATTAGCACATCTCTGTACACTTAGTCATAATTCAAAATTTTCAATTGCTAGTTCATATATAACTTCAAAGTCTAAATATAAGCTATGGAATTGAAATTGTTGCAAAATGTTTGATTTCCGTATGTACCAGTTACGGCAAGTTTGACTACAGAACTTTGAAGTTACAGAGTCAAATGGGCTTAAGGTTAATTGGCCCTGCCATCCCAGTGAATACGTGTTCACCAAATGGTTCACAATGTAATATGATTTCAATTGTGGTGCTTCTTCAATAAATTCAATGCCATAATGTATTTAGTGATCCTATCCAAAAGATCAAACAGACCAATTCAATTGTTTTTTTTTTTGCTGATTTCTCATACTAAAATATTTGCTGTGATAGTGTCATCAATCTTTGTATGATAACACAACGTAGGATAAATGAATCTGCACTCATTTCATAAACCTTATCCATAATTCTTGATGTCCTCACATGCAATCTCAAAGTAGGAAGAGCAATTTTGAACATCGTAACTTGCTTTAGGCGCGATTAATAAATCATTGTGGCTATGGGTGCAGTTCCCGTGGCATGATCACGATACATAATCCCAATTCGAGTGTGCGTTTCACGTAACTCGACCATAACTTCAAATAATAATAAAAATAAACATGTTGTAAATCGTGGGTGCGTTTTACGTGGCGCGGTTTGCAATGTGTACCAAAATGACAAGTGTACGACATCGTGACTTGTTTCAGAAATAATTCCATAAATACTAAAAGCGGTTTAAAAGGTTAAAAATGCATAATAGGTTTTAAAAATATATTAAATCAGATAATTAGGTCGATTAATAATAGTTGAGCGACTGTGCTAAAATCACGGAATTCGGGAGTGCCTCACACCTTCTCCCGGGTTAACAGAATTCCTTACCCGATCTTCTGTGTTCGCAGATCATAAATAGAGTCAAATTTCCTCGATTTGGGATTTAAAATAAACCGATGACTTGGGACACCATAACTTATTTCAAGTGTCGACTCTGAATAAATAAATAATCTCATTTCGAACAATGTCACTTAAATTGAAAAAACTCCCTTATCCCCCTTCGGAAAAAGGAGGTGTGACAGATGTTTCTATGTCTCTGCAGGTGCAGGTATTTGAACTTGTTGCATAACTGTTATGTGTGTTGCCTCCATAAGTATCAGGGGCTCATCAGCATATAGATGCCCTGGTAGATCACTTGGAGATACCATCTTTGCAGAATCCTTGTGTTTGAAAGGAAAGATTGTCTCTTTGAACACCACATCCCTACATATAAAAAACGGATTAGAAGACAAATCCAGTAGTATGTAGCCCTTTTGACTTTCTGAGAAACCAAGAAGTACTGTTGCAGTGGCCCTTTGTGCAAACTTGTCTCCTTTGACCAACCTTGTAGCATAACACAAACAACCTAAAACTCTGATGTGTCCAAGAGTTGGTTTCTACTGATACAACATCTCATAGGGAACCTTACCATCCAAGACTCTAGAAAGTATCCTTTTTTATCAAATAGACTGCTGCTTGTACACATAGACCCCAGTATCTTATGGGAATACTTGCCTGAAACCTTATGGCCCTTGCCACATCTAGGATATGCATGCACTTCCTTTACACAACTCTTTTTTGTTGTGGAGTATATGAGCAACTACTCTGATATATTATCCCAAAATCATGTAACAATGTATTACATTGAGAGTTAAAAAAAGGTCATTCCATTGTTTGATCTTATCACCTTAATCATAGTTCCAAACTAATTTTAACCATGGCCAAAAATTGGTTCAAAACAACTATAACTTCAGACTTTAATTGCAGAAGATAAATCCATGTGTATCTAGTATTGTCATCCACAACAGTTAAGAAGCAATGCTTTCTGTCAAAAGTAGGCATTTTATAGGGTCTCCAAAAGGTCTAGATGTACAAGATTGAACAGCAAATCAGCTCTAGAGCTACTGATTAGAAATTGTAATCTAGACTGCATTGCCAATGGGCATACATGACAATTATTTGTACAGCACTACTAACTTTATTCCTTAGTCTGCTATATGCTTCATAGTTATAACATATGGGTGACCCAACCTCATGTGCCACATATTGTCTTCTTCACTATAATTGCTTATTGCAGCAGCTCTTATTCTAGCAATTCTGTCAGCATTTGAGTTCTCCTTAAGAATGTATAAGCCTCCTCTCTCTCTACCAATCCCCTTTACCCTGCCACTGTAAAGATCCTGGAATACATAGAAATCATGAAAAAATGTTGCAGCACAAGAGAGCTCTTTATTCAGCTTTGATATTGACAGTAGATTGAACCTAACATTAGGTACATATAAACATTCTGAACAACATCTTTGTCAAACAAGTTCACATCACCAACGTGAGTGATATCAGCTACTTCCCCTGTTGGTAGATACACTTTATCATTCCTAGATGTGCCTACATCATCATAACCTTGTAACATTTTTAAGCTAGCAGCAATATGATGAGTAGCACATGAATCTATGATCCATTCATTTGGTGTGTGCTCATACATCAAGCAAGTAACAATACCTGCAAAGTTTGCATGATTCTCCTTTATACAATTGGTCTGGTTCTCTCCTGGTTCTTTGTTCAATAATTCCAAAATAAAAAAAATAGTGACCTTTGTATTCAGATGTTCCCTGACTAGTTCTAGCTCGTTGCAATGAGGGAGATCCTTCCACATTGTTGACTGCTTCAAGAGGTTCTCTTCTCCAGCCATCCAAGTTTCCTGCTCGAAATTTCTTCTTAGGCTTGAAGTCCATGGGATAACCGATGATTTTATAGTAGTTCTCTTTTGTGTGACCATTCATCCCACAATGTTCACATTGAAGAAATTGTTTCTTTTCTTTAAATCCTTGGCCTCTTCCAGCTTGCATAGCTATAGGATCCATCTTATCTGATAGAACAGTAGCTCCAACAGATTATTGGATTACATCTTGAATTATCATCGCATAAGCTTGATTGAGACTAGGTGCATTAGTTTTCATAAGGATCTGTCTCCTTGTTTGATCATAGGAATCATTGAGGCCACATGATCCCTTGATTTTGGACAGTCACAGTTAGAAAAAGGCACTAATACATTATACTCAGGCCAAAGTTCCTTCAAGCGCAAAAAATACAATGAAACAGAGTTAGTGCCCTATGAAACGGTCGCAATTTCCCCGTGTAATTGTAAAATTTGTACTCAGTTGACTTTGTCAAATCTCTCTGACGTGCCTTCCCAAATTAGATGAGCATCTGATGCATAAACAATTCCACCAAGGAGTTCTGCCGAAACATTGTTCATTACCCATGAAAGGACAATCGCATTACAGGTTTTCCATTGCTCCAGCAAATCGCATGTGTACGAGTCCCTCTTACACTTTTCAGTGACAAACCATAACTTCTTCTTCCCCATAAGTGCAATCCGCATTGACCTACTCCATAGACCAAAATTTTCTGTTCCTATGAGCTTAACAGGAACTATTACTGAACTAGAGTGTCTGACGGACCAATATACAGAGGATGAGGGTGGTCGATTACAGTTTCTATCGTTGATGAGGATTTGTTGCCCATTGTTGGAGAGAACAAGCTTTGAAATTAATGAGAACAAAAAAAGCATAAAACAAATCAAATCAGAGGTTAGATCGCGCGAGATTCCAGCATCTCCCGCTCTGATACCATGTAGAAATTCGCTTCACAGTAGAGAAGCTCGATTGTGTGTCAATGGCGGAAGTTTCTAGAGAGACAAGGAGTGTTTTCAGAGAAGAAAAATGATATCTATCATTTTATTATATACATGTGTCACCTAACCGACTAACACGTGCACTAATAACCAACTAACTATAAGTTACAACTAACTCTTGTACAACTGAATATGAGTTGGACGGCTGCACATACACAGTCAGCTCTCCATATGCCAATAGTGCCATTGCCAAATGGCAATTGACATTCAATTTCGTCTTTATTAATTTGTTTATTGAACTTTTACTTTGTTGGTTGTGAGGGGTGCTTGTCGAAAAAAGGTTTTCACAAAATTTATCTCACGTCCGAATCAAATATCCCTTCTAAATTAACACAAGGCATTTTAAAGATAGAAATTCTATGAAATAGTTCAATCTTTCTAATTAATTTAGCATCCTCAAAATTATCATTGCCATTAATTATCATGACAACTTAGTACTATTAATGTCAATTGATATTCCATGATACGCAGAAGTAATATGGTAAAAAGTAAAATAACTATCTCCGACCCACATACGAAAATCACCCAAAATAAAATAACGATCTCTAGTAAGAAAACCATGCCACAGCCTCCAGCTGAGTCCAGCAAGTGTAGGGAAAAAGTTGAGCTGTAATGGTCTTATTCACACAGAAATTTCAATTGAGCGAAACAGATTTTGTATAGAGATCTTTTCACTTATATTACGTATTTACGTTAAAGTCAAACGTAGAGGTTGACTATTTGAGTTTTGAGATCATTTTCCCTTGTGAAAGCGCTCTAGTCTTTTCCCTCTTTGACCACGTTCCATCCCATTTTCGAATTTCAATTATGGGACACATTTTTGTGATTTGTGGTGACGTTTTCACTTATATTACAGTAAGTAAAGTCAAACTTTAGGTTAGGGGTTAAATTATTTGAGTTTTGAATTGTTGAAAGCGCACTAATCTAATTCCACTATCCTTCATAGTTTTCTTCCTTTGCAATTGACTTCAAAATTTTGAATTATTAGAAAATAAAAAGGAAAACAGAAAGCAATTTTATCAGATTACTAATAAACGTGCCATTATGTGAATACATGCCCCGCCTGCTCCTTTTTTTTATTTTATTTTTTCAGTCTGTACAAGAACGAATGTATGTTCCTAATGCGTACCATTTTTATATATATATTAGCTAGTTATGCGCTACAACGTGAATGCATTATAAATTGTCATTCCTCATGTAGCTATATATTGTCATTCCCCTTTCGTGACTTCGGGCGCAATGGCCTACAAAATATTTACACAAACATTGTCGATTTATTGTCATAATTCAACTTGTAAGTAAGTTTGAGTTTGGATTGCGCTAGCTAGTTTTAAGACTTTGGACTCCTATCTATCTATTGTTGTTTTCATTATGGATCGGTCGACTTGTCACAATTATTTACTCACACATAATTAAGGCAGACTTGGTCATAATTTTTTTTTTTTCCAAATTTGTAGCACGATAACTCCTCGAAGAGAAAACTATAAAGTATAGCCACTTCCAAAAACAATAGTCCGAAAAAATATATATTAATGTACAATATACATATTTTTTGTGTATTTGACTAGCAGATATAATTATTTTAGGCCGAGTGACTAAATATGTAACTTGCCCTTATGGCGCTTTTTTTTCCTGTCACGTTAATCTCAACTCCAAGCTTTTCAATATGGTGCAAACACAATAATACTAAGGCATTCCAGTTGAAATTTCCTCGTGTAGAAAATTCACCGCACTTGTCAATTTCTTAGTGCAGCAGATGAAGGTATGATAATAGAGTCGAAACACACGATTAGGTCACACCGTCTAAAAGGCAACTACTCTTGGGATATAAGCTCCATCTCAGCCTATTAATGCTATCTGATAATAGAATTGACTGGGAAAGACTTCAAAACAGTAGCTGTTTCGTGTACAAGTTAGTTATTCATTGCTGACGGCAATACCATCTACATAGATCAGTTCAATCAACAAGCCAAGGTACGTTCACAGAAACAGGGTTGCTGGATCGTTCCATTTTATTAGATTCGCTGCTTTGGGCCTAAGAAATCCCCAAGTCTACTCAGACACTTGCCCATCTCTTTATCATAATAGTAAGTAACTGTATTGACTATTTTCTGTAAAACTTGCAGTCTCCGAATAGGCATCTAAGCCGGGAGCGCAGGAGCATACCACAAGCAAGGATCAAATAAAATAGGCATACCACGACACTAGGCGAACTCCTCAAGAACAACCACAAACATCATGTACAAATGACTTACTAAACTGACACGCCTTACACAATTGAAATTTCATGACCCAAACTCAAATATGTGCAAGACTTCAAAACAATAGCCGGATATCACACACATCAAGGTAAATTAAGCCAAGCCAAGGTGTGATAAATAAAAGTTATAATTTTCAAAAGAAAAAAAAATCTTGCCATTTTAGTGGCAATCATAACTCCTAGCAAGTCAACAAATATCCACATCATATAGCCGGTTTAGCGAGTAACTTCTCTAACAATAAAACATAACCCTCTTGACATTCTCCTTGAGAGCAGGAAGGGGCCTTACAGCAGCACCAGCACCTGGTGCTTGCATGCTTCTTCCCATAGCTCCTACACCTCCTCTGTTTGAAGCAGCTGCGCTTGTGACTGATCCACTGTCAGATGTCTCTGGCTCCATGTAAAAGCGAGCACGGAAAGCTGCCAAATGTGCATAATAGGCTGGTGGAAATGCAAACAGCATCAATGAACTTAAGTTAGTAACATGCTACGAAGAACAGGCTATACGTGGAGAAATTCCAAACAAAAAAAGGATAAAGGGGGAGGGGGGTTGAGACTGGGAAATAAAATTAGATGCTGAAGAAAAGCCACTAACAAGTGCAGCGAACATACCAATGGAGACAGAACGAGTACACCTAGCATATCTGAAATTAATAACAATTAAGCCACCAGAATTAGAATGCTGGAAAATTTCAAGAACTATGGCAGCTCAAAAGTAAGCATACGTATAGCAGAGATTGTTAGTCAAAGACTGCAGGGCGTCAGCAGTAAAATTGTTCTCATCCCACAGAACATGATAATGAGCTGAGCGGCTAGTACCCTGCAGTATCACAAAATCCAGTAACTTACAACAGTCCTTAGTACATGACTATCATATGTTTATAGAATACCAATCTTATTACCTGAATGCCGGCATGGCTACAGAGATAGAAATCAAATTCAGTAGGGTGGCACATCTTTGAATCTACAAACACAATTACATTATAAAAAGGTTTTAGAACCATTTGCAGCTAAGCTAGTATAGAATCACTAGAGATACAGAGACTAATACTCACCAGGCAAAATGTTCCCACTCCGATCAACTGCATTTCTGTCGTGGTGGTTATTGGCAAACAACCTTGTATGATGACGTTTCTGAACCACAACAAATGTAACTGGGGGCTGATAGTTGGGTTCTAAAGATGCACATGCCTGAATTGGGTTCAAGTCAATTCATACCTTCTAACAAATAAAAAGGGTAAGCATGTTTTCTACCCATCTTCATGGTCCAAAAGATAGAGAGAAATCCAGAGTTTATAATAATGAGGCAGAGTAAGGATAACAGAAGGGAAAATACCTTGCGGATTGCATCAAGTTCAAAAAGAAGAACTTGATAAAATTGTCCTTCACTAACACCATCTCTGAAGGGAAAAGGATAATTCATTTCAGACAAAAAAGGAACAGAAATTTCTATAATGCAGGTATAGAGCGTTATTCAACAATACCTGTAGAATATAATTCTCTGAGGCTTCTGTGCAGTTGCTCAACGGAAGGAAATAAGCAATTCCCTGAGTTATAAATGAGATAGACTGTCAGTCAGAAGCAAAATTATGTCCATTAGCTAGAAACTTGAAAATCAAGACATGTTCTCTGAAAATGAGGAAAGAAAAAGGCGGAATACTTTATCATGCCACTAGTCACAGGTCCTCTAACTGGATCTTGCCAGGTCTTGTACAGATCTTGTATAAGCTCTTGCCTAGGCGCTTGAGCAGAAACCAAACCAGCATACTTCGTAATCTCAGGCCAATCTTGAGAAGCAGCCACCTGAAAGATATGAAAAGTTAGCACTTCTTTGCTTCAGATATATAGATGAAGGGAGTGTATTAATGAAACCAAAAGAATGTAGTCTACAGCAATTACCGCAGCAATTGACGGGCTAGAATCCTCCCCAGGGTGGGGATGGGTGACATCTGCACCAAAAATGATAGTTGGGCGGTCGCTGACAAGGGGAATTCGTCTAGAGAGCGCATCAACCAGCACAGTATTTCTTCCTCCAACCTTCACATTTATCTTCAGGGATACATTGGCTAAATACTGCTTGCTCATCTTAAATACATGTTTTGTCAAGCAGCATTGTGAGACAATTTTAAGTTCAGTTTCACCTAGGAAAAGAAGCAAATATTTCAGCTGTAGCATATTCCAGGAGTTTGCAAAAGCACCATATGAATTTCACCATTCTAGGCTTGTACCATAAAGAGAAGAAAGGTGCAAATGTCTCCTCTCCTTCTGAGTCCTAGAAATCCCCTAAGCAGTTTAACAGAGTTATTTTTAAGAGATACCTCATTTTTATCATAAATTATCTCCTCGGATTCAAATATCTCCTCTCCTTCTGAGTCCTCCATCTCTTCGCACTCAAACTCTACATCTTCTCGTATTTCTTCCTCTGAGTCACTTAACTCTTCCTGCTCCATCACAATTTCTGCAAGAGACTGGTCTGCCATATAATCAACGTCATTTCCATTTTCTTGGTCGCTGAATAAAATCATTGCGGTAGCACCTGAATCATGGTGTTGCGTGGTTCTATTTGGAGTTCTATTGATTTGATGATTTTGATCTCCAGAATCTGAAGCACTAGTAGGTGATCTTCCCATATAATGGTCAGCCACTCCTCTGCTTCCCATGGCTTTCTGCTTTCTGGACGTGAAACTCAAGTGCATCTCCAAGTCAACCTCATTGCTTTTTCCCACAGGGCTAGAGGGTATAGAACAGGCAACATTTGAACTACTATCGACAGCATTCTGAACTTGAATGCACCTTCCTTTTGATGACTCTGAGATACATAAGGTTGGTGCAGCAGAGGATGCAGCTTCCAAGTCACAACTTGCATCATCATTTCTTTGCAGAAGAGGATGAAAGTCAAAACCAGATGATATTGAAGTTTTATCCCTGAGCTTAGAAGACTTGTCAAGAAAGTTAACAGTATGGGCTAATTGGCGTGGATGATGAAAGAGGCTAAGATTTAGTTGAGGTTGACAACCCGAAAAGAAACTGAACGAACTGGATGTACTAAAACTAGAGTTAGACTGATAATATGGCAAAGGGCCATCTTCAGGGGCCCGGAAGAGCAAAGGATGCATCCGTAGACCTGAATCATCTTTTCCTTCAGTAACATTCTTATTATCCTTTGACACACTGGTTTCCTGTAGATTCTGATTACTTATAGTGTTCCTCCCATCACTAATGCTAAACGGTCCATCTTTCACAAAATAATTCTTTGCAGCACTTGCAATTTTTGGGACTGTGTTGTCTGTCACAGTATCACCCGTACAAATATCCCCACCAAAAGCCCTTGGATACGTTCCACCATGATAGCTTTTAAAAGCTGACTGAGATATTACTCGAACAGATGGTGGAAGATTAACAGGAGGCAGGCCCGGAGCTAATTTGACTAATTGTCCATTGTTAAATTTACGGGCTTCGTATGGCCGCGAAAAGGACTCGGTTTCTGAGGCCCTTCAAGTCAGATAAGAAGCATAGTGAGTCATCACAATGTAGAAAGTCTGCCATCTTGAGAACACAAACACAAAAACAAAGGAGATGAAAAAGAGTAAGATGCAATGTGTACCTCAGAGAAGCAGGGAACTCGTTAGAGATGTGCGATTGCCCATTTCCAGAACGACTGCTATTCATCTCTTCAGCAACTGGAGAACTCTCATCTCTCAATAGCTGAGCAGGAGGAATTTTCTCTGCCAGGTCTGACATAAAATGATTCACTTGGATGCTGGATACAGCAGGCCTCCAATCTGCCAAAAAGGCCTCATGAACGTAAGCTTCCTCATCTCCTTCTGTACAATTATCTGCACCACTATTTTCTGTTACAGCATAGTCAGCAACATTATCCTGCATTTTTTTCATGAGAAAGGGAATTATAGTTTATATACAACTGCATCCAGTGGACGAATGTAGAAAAGGAACATTAAAGTTAAAGACCCTTCTCAAAAGCGTAGGGAGCCAACAAAAATCCGTTCATCATTCAATGAATCAACTATGTCTCAATCACAAACTAGTTGGGGTTGTACTATCCATTCCGCTTTATTCGGGACATTTTATTTAATACTAATGAATAATTTGACTTTTAAGAAAATTAGAAGTTTTCTAAAACTAGAGATCCTCTAAATCTCACATAAAACATCTATGTCATCTGTAGAAATAAAATTACGTCAGATATCCAACAGATGTAAACAAGAAAATTTCAAATTGTACTAATTTTTGTTTTCATTCAAATGTTTGTGGTTTGCTCCCACCAAATAACCCATAGAACAAAAGATGTCTCATGTTCCAAACACTACACTAACACTTATTAGCCACAGCACAATATAAAAACAAATTATTTATATTTGAGTCTCCTCCTAACACATGTAACAGTTGCCGCATATAGTATAAAGCCTCTTCGGCTTCTTTTTTTATTAGCCTCTTCTGCTTAAATTGTCTTAAGTTAGACATGCCTCATAAACTACTATCCAACCAAAACATGAAACTTCGGGAAGACCTCTAGTTTTGCGACAGTTTCCGTCGCCAATAGCTTCTACTGTCTGCATAACTGGATAGGGCGTCATAAGTACCTTACACAGAGAACAGATGTTTACTGTCAAATTTCGATCACAGAGAATCATTTCCCCCTAGAAACTGTTCCTTTATCTTCAATCTAGAGTTAGCCTAGTTAAACTATATAGCGAGAGCCTCCTGATCTTGGCAATTTCTTCAAAATTTAGTGTCCTATACTCTACTGTTCATGTTTTGAGCAATCGTTGACTCAGGACAACCTATAAAACTAAAAAGATCTGGAAATTCCAGTCTTAAGTGACGTGTTAAATTGCTAAATTTCTGGCCAGATTCTTGTTTTTCTGTAACTGACCTTAAAATGTGTGCATCTTATGAATTCCTCCCTTTGACCTCCCATACATTTCCACCTTAAACGAGCAGATATGAAAGAGCTCATTAGCCAACTCGAAAAGAGAAGGATTCCTAGGGCTAAAAAAGGGAAAACTGTAGAATTTCGTCTCCTCTTTTTGGTTTGGCAATAGAATGAAGGTATTTGTATAGAGGAAAATAATTGCCATTTTTTGGGGCCTGCCAACTTTTCAAGTATTTGCAGGACTTATACTTCCTAGTCTTCCCTCCAACTTTGATGATTAGATGTCTGAACACCTCTTTTCTACTCCCGAAGCACCTGTTCCACCAAATCAAGGAGTGGAGTACCTTTTTGTAGGCCCAACCTCCTTCCCTTCATGCCAAAATAGCAAAGGGCCCTACATCCTGACTTCTCCTTTTCCCTCATATATGAAGACTCGAACCTTGCATCTAAGGATGTGGTCTAGTGGTCAATGAAGAATATGCGAAACCAGGGTCCAAAACTCAGCAGAGACAAGAAAATGCTAGGTGAAATTTTTCCAATGCCTAAATCTGGTAGACAGAGTACCAGATAATTGGTGGGAGAATGGAGGTACTCGATGCAATAATCAAGGTATGCGCCAATCGGCCTGAACACAACCGTCATCAAAAATAAAAATTTAAAGAATCCCTAACCTTTGNTCATGTATTCTCACCTTAGCTAGAATATTTTACGAAGTACAACAAAATCACTAACAGACCAGATCCTGTTGATGACATAATATAATTAAGTAAATAAAAATGTGCTCTATCTTTATGTTTTTCTATAAATAGGGTGTACTCTCTCTACTATCTTAAACTTTTAGATGAGATGGTCACACACTTCAATATTATCGGAGCATACAGAGCTTCGGGGTTCGAATCTCACTGCTACCCTTTATCAAAACGAATTTCCACTTGGGCTATGAAAGGAAGGAATTTTCACTTGGCCTGCATGTGAGGAGGCATGTTGAAGACATAATATAATTATGTAAATAAAAGTGTAATCTCCCTAACAACTTAAGCTTTAAATGAGATGGTCACACACTTCTATAAATCAATATATTCTACGGATTCAACTTAGAGGAGGCATAATGTTTAAGTGATCTATAAATCAATCAACAGTCAGCTGCACCTCAAGCAAAAACTATTACGGGACTATATGAATCCTCCGTATCCACTCCAATCTATTCTAACCCATTCCATTCCAAAACTGGAAAATACTTTGTTTTTTAAGGTAAACTAATGGTCTTTACAACAAGAGGTTTTCCAAATTCCATGCAAGTTTCCAATTAAGCTAAAAAGACTCCTACTCCTGGCAAACATCGGATCTAATGCAAGTGTAAAACTAACAACTGAGCTTTAATCACAAAAGTTGATGCCGAAAAAGAATCTTTTCCTTCCATTGTGTTTGTTCTTAGCTAATTCACATTGGTCTCAAGACATTACGTCTTTTGAGACTTCCCTTCATGTGATTACAAGCCTACCTTGTCCATTTTTAGGAGATTCAATCGCCATGATATATTTTGAAGTCTATGTAGGACATGATCAAATTATCTCGCAATCTTCTTTCATTTTATTATTCTCTACGTATGCTACTTTGCACACTCAGCCTGGTGCTACCGAAAATTCATAGATGATGAAAGCATGACGATTAGGAGATAAATGGTTACGTCATATTAAAATATAACGCAAAACGGCTTCTAGATAGAAGCATGAAATCCCTCCCATTTATTACTGATTACCCCAGACCTATATATAATCCATTATGTATAAACTCTATTTATTATATATCCATTTTTCCATCTCTATTCGACTACGTTCAACTTTAGCATTTGATTGGGAACATGTTTTAAAATCCAACCAATAAGCACTAATAGAACATAGCAGTGTTTTAAAAAGCGACGAAGCGATCGCTTTAAGCGAGAAGCGACGCAAAACGATGGCTGCTCGCTTTTCCATGCCTGAGGCGACTCGACCACACGAAGCGCTCGCTTCAGTCGAAAAAGCGCGAAGCGACCTTGAATCGAGAAGCGCAGAATCGCTCGCTTCTGTTCAGAGAGGTCAGTTTTTTTAAAAGAAAAAGTTTGGGTCTGTTTTTTTATTATACAAAACAGATCCCTAAGACCAAAGTGAAGACCATTTCTCTCTTCTTCCCAAAATCAATTGTTGCTGAGTACTGCTAGGGTTCAAGTCGTCAGAGACCTCCTCCAATCCTCCAGGTAATTTTTCTTCTTTTTTTCTTCTTTCTTCTTTCTTCTTCTTCTCCTTCTCCTTTTTTTCTTTCTTCTTTCTTCTTCTTGTTCCCGTCCAGGCGTCTGCTCACAGCTAGGGCAGGCACGATTTATTTTTCCTTTTATTCTTTTTATTTAGTATTTTAGCCTTTATTTATTAATTTGTATGTGTATTTCAATTTATAAAGTTAATTATTATATATATATATATATTATTTTCAGTTTATTTGATTATGTTTTTTTCTTATATATAAATTGAACTCTTTGATTATTTATATTGTGTCTTTGCAAGGTTTACATTATGTTTTTTAAGAATTGCGTTTCACTTCAATGAAGCGTGCGCTTCGCTTTGCGCTTCGTTTTTGAAGCGAGGCGAGCCCCTATCGCTTTTATGCGCTTCTCGCTCTCAAAAACACTGCAACATAGTGGGGCCACAGGTAAGTGGCTCTGCTGGGGAAACTGTAATTGAACCATAATAGTATAATACAATAGAAGACTTTGATAACTTTCTCTTCAATTTTTCTGAGAATCGTAATTTATTTTTCTTCCTCCTCATCCAACCACCGGCAGAACCCACTTATTATTTTTCTTTCTCCTCCTGTCAGCCACTGTCCACACAATTGCATCCTCAGCTCCATGTTGCTTGGCCCACACCCCAAATCCATCATGTTCTCTCCTCCTCCGCTAGTTCAACGTAAAGACATTCGGTTAGAGGATACCTTCATCCTTACAGAAATTTGCTTTTCTCTTGTGTAATCTCTTTTGCAAAAAGATTTTCAATTACAATCCTAGCTTTAGTCAAACAAGCATTAAACAATATCTTAGCAATAACATCTTTTATTATTTCTACATAGTATTAGATAAGTTAGATCACTCTTAGTGCAATCTAATTCTTCCGGTTCCCAGCCCATAGCCACAAGAATGATGAATTTCAACATGACTAATCCAGCCGAGCAACCAATAATCACATCCAATGCAAGTCTAAGCCAGCTGCAGCAACTGGCCTAATCCATAGTAACTGCAAGCAAGTCTAATCTACTTGATAATCATAGCTTACTAAAGAGAAAATTTAGATTTACAAACGGTAAACTAAATCCCTTTCAGGGAAAGTTGAGATTAGACTCAACTAGGGATTGTAAAACAAAGATTTGGTGCAATTAGTCACATTATATGATCAGGTTTAATACTATATAAGATGGAACCGTGTATAAAATAGTTCATGCTAGAGCAAGAAAAATCCATCTTATTAAGAACTTCTGCAAACAGTAATTAACCAAGATTCAGACAATAAATATCAATCCAACTTATAATTTCTAAACAGAACTACGATTCTTAGCAGATTTGGCATCATGACTATATTTCAAAACAAACCTACTTCCCTATTTTTACCAGTTTCATGCTCCAATTTCGTGGTAATAACTAGCAATTAGCAAGATGACATTTACTAATATGGTAATAAGAGAAAGAACATACTGCATGGGCGAGTTAGGTACTTATTTGACGAAGTACACCTTTCTAACGTGGAAAATGGATGCAGAATAATAGTTTGACTGAAAGACACAGCCTTACCTCCTTTTCGGAAGAAACATGCCAAGTTTCCAAAGCAGCAGCTTTTGCTTTTCTTCTCTCTTCATATAACCGGCGTTTTGCCTTCTTACTAGCATCAGATTTATACGATTTCTGAGTTCCAATAGCAATGCGCCACTGCCGGGGTAACAAGGAAGGATCTCTATAAGGAACAATAAACTTCCACACTGACATCCAGTCAAGCTTGAACACCTTCAGACCCTGCGTGATCATGACTATGTAAATAGTGAAGCAGCGATAAATGGAGATGGTGGTGCTATGGAAATTTAAGTTGCGGTGTAAACTTACCTCTTCAATACGTGCAACCTCTTCTGCTGTCAACGGAGAGTTTTTTATCCTCCGAACAGCCTACAAGATTCATTACAACATTATTTACCACAATCAATGACCACAACAATCATAAAACACACTGTGATCAAAAACCTATCATTCAAAACAAAATAAATGGCATCTCTAGCAACATATATATATATTTTGATAAGGTAAATAATTTTATTAACAATTGGAGGAAACCCCGTATACAAGTCGTATGCCAAAAAGAAAGAACCTACACAAATATATGGTTCTCAACAAGCCCAGTTCTCTATACAAGTGGGGACCTCATGAGTGCACCAAAAAGAAACTAGAAATAAAAAGCAACTTTGCAATTTTACAAACTCAAGTTCCGCCCCTTCAAAAGCCTCTTATTTCTCTCTTTCCAAATAACCCACATGATTGCTAAGGGGGCAACCCTCCAAGCCTTTGGACTTCTCTTCCCCCTCATGTGAGACCAACTATGCAACGCCTCCTTCACTATGCTCAGCATCACCCATCGCACCCCAAACAAATTAAGGACCAGATATTTTGGAAAATACTGCAAGAAAAGGTCATGATTCATGGATGAATTGCGATTGTAGGTTGTACTTTTATTAGGTGAATCGAGAAAGTCATTTTAGAGTTTAAAAAATCTTTGAACAGTTGAAGGGGTGATAGGAGATAGCTTAAACATTCAGCATGTCCCAACTGATAGAATGAATAGATTGCTAAAGTGGTTTAGCAGGCACTTTTCGGAAGAGGCAGTTAAAATGGGGCCATAGCGTTAATACTATGATTGTTTATAAATGTTGTATGCACACCAATAACAAACCTTTATTAGATTTTCAGGTGCTTTAGATGATGAGCGATTCTTCTGCCTGACAAAAATCTGCAGAAAGGGTCAAGTACTTCCTCACGTTAAGCACAACTAAATACCAAGAAGACAATGAAATCGAGAGGATAAATGACTGACAACACTGTTTCTGCAACTGGAAGTGCACATAAGAATCACCTGATGCTTAGATTTGCAAGGAAGATAGCGCTGCTGAATTGCCCTCCAGTCTGTATTATACTCCATCAAACCCAATGCTAATAATCTGCACCAGATGCCAAGGTAATATTACTAAACTTATTAGTAATGGCAAAAGCGAATATGGGTAAAAATGAAGATCATCCATGATATTAAAACCTTAAGAACCTAGTAGGGAATTGATGAAATTGCCTAAGGAAGTGGAGGATGAATGATACATGCTATTTACCCAAATCACAATGACTAAAACTGCTTAGGCTCTCACAGATATAGGTAATTAGCTTCATTCAATTGTTTTCGTACAATAGATGTAACAAAATTCTTTTCGCTTTAGGATAACACCCAATTTTGTATCATGATGATAAATAAATTGTACTAAAAGAGATCGTTTATTTAGGGGAAATTTCAGAATCCATTAGATTTTTGTAAGATGTGAATTCTAACATTCCAACTTTGCAACTCTAAACCCTAACTAAATTCACTACTTTCTCTGTTCTTCCTATAGCAAGGTTTTAGTTCACAACCTATCACCATAGCAGGAATGACAACTGTGGAGAAGATGAGAATACCAACTAATAAAAGCAAGAAGGCATCAAATGCCCCAAAGCAAGGTCAATGTTGCCTCAATTTTACAATCACGACCTACTCAGTAAAGCGACTCATTTCATATGAACCCTGATACTGCTACTGCACGAAAGGTAAAAGAAGACATAAAACTCACTCATCCTCTGCATCAGTAAAAAGCACCCGGTTTGCTACCGCTGCAGGGGGTGGCTTATGGGGATACAAGGCAGGATTAAACAAAGGAAAGAAGCGCTGGGCTAACTTAGCAATCTCCTTTGGAACAGGAGCAGCTGCCTGTTTTTTAGCTTTTTCTACTAATACAGCAGCCATAGTCTTCTTTGATGTTCGAAAACTTGATGAAGGAGGAGGCACAACATTTGAATACAAGGAAGCCTGAACATCAGGTTCAGCAGTAAAATGAATATTTTGCACAGGAAACAAGGGTTCCTTCTCGGAGAAGATATCATCCATACCTCCTACTTGCCGGTGTTGGTAATCTTGCATAGCTGTCAATAAGTATCACCCGTGATAAAGTAAATAAAGTATCCTAAACTCAGCAACCATAAGAAAACTAAATGAAATTTAGTGTTCTAACATGATATACCATGAGAAACGTCATTCATGAAGTCCTTGACTAATTTGATCGGAGCCACATCAAGAACAGATAGTATTGGACCATTAATATAAGGTACCCAGGAGCCTACAGGGCATCCCACTTGATTAAAAGCATCATGTCTTCCTCTTGAAGGGGAAATCCCATCAGAAGGCTGCACCATGTTAAGTCTAGATGAGCAGTCTCCCTGCGAAACATGTGCTAAAGACATTTTGTTGGTGATTTGGGCAGGCGAAATCTTCGAAGGTTCATCAGACACTGAGGGATGAACATATGGGAAGAAGCAAAAACTGGGATATGGCACACTCCTACTTGCTAATACTTCATCACGTTTATGAAGCATTTGTGATATCAATTCCCGAACATCAGAAGCAATGTGCCGTCTGGCCGGCTCAAGAACACAAACCGCAAAAACCTGAATAAGAAGTTGAACATGCTCTTGTATCAAACAATGTAATTGTCCTATCTGATGGGCTGTAAATCCATTGATAAAGCCATCATTCGCAGGCGACAGACTGAGTGAAGCTAGAGAACATCTTGGCATCGTCATGCTTTTTGCACCATGTCCAGAGTAAGGAGAAATGGGCAGATATGGTAACAAAGAGCGTAGTGGCCTATTTGACAGCCCTAAAACCTTCTTCTTATTCTCAAGAGAAGCTCTTTGGCGCCTAGTTTGCCTAGTCTTAGGTCTTCGACTAACAGCCTCGTACTCCTCTTCAACATCACCCTTCACGTGTTCATCAATGTCACTCTCCAATGCCTCCTCAATTTCAAGCTCAAAATCTGCATCGTTGTCTTCATCTTCATCATCAACATTTTCATTCTCTTGTACATTTCCAGAATTTCCATCTCCAATGAGTAAAACAGCTGCAAGAAACCTCCTGTACTCTTGATAGTCGTTTGCATTCTGAAGATCATCCTCGTCATCTGTTTCTTGAAGAAATGTCTCAAGTTCATCAAGTGTACGGCTAGCAAGTGAGTACCTCGCTCTAGTGCGCTTACATATAGCATCTTCATTATCCATATCTATGATGGATCTCCTTGAATTTGCAACTGAAAGATGTTCAATGCCCTCTTCCCCTCCACTGAATACAGTCCTCTTGTTATTTGAAATTCCACTTTCAGGTTCAGAAGAAGAGATTTTCTTCACGTCTTCTGGACAAGCTCCAGAAGAAGCTCTATTTTGCATCATTTCCTCACCAAGAGGGCGGCTCTAGGGCTCTTGCCTTAGGCCCCCAAATATTTAAGGCCCCAAAAATATAAAGCAGGCGATATTGGGGCGAGTCTTAGGACGGGGCGGAAATGGAAAGCGCAGGCGTACCTCTCAAATGATTAGGCGTTCGCCCAGCCGCGCCTTGCGCCTTAGAGAGAGACGCAAGCTTTCTATATGGACAGCGGATAGCAGATAAATAAGGGAAAAATAGGTACACCATTGCTTCTTCTGTCTCGATTTCAGAAACTTGGATCTAGGTTTGGACCACAATTTAGAATAGAAAATTAATTCTCAAAGCCATTACAGTCAAATTTTGGTTTGGGGGAGAGTAGCGAAGAAGATAGTGGATAATTCTTGAACAATGCCTTTTCTAATTCTATGAAACACCCTTCATAATTACCTATGGATTCTAAAAATATTCCATAATCTGGAACTTGTAATAGAATAACATATTCTACATATTTATTCTACGACAAATGTCTAAAACATAAACTCCAAAAAAAAGGTAGATTTCCTAAAAAAGGAGAATTCTATTTTGAAACATATCCCATAATTAGCTCATAAAAATTCTTCAGTTTATTAATTATTACTATAAAAGTCACTATCTCATAAAAATAGGCCAAATACATAGACCTCCCTTTAAAGTTAGTTTCAAATTCTATTTAGACACTCCAACTAAGACTTGTACCTATTACATACTTCAACCCTAATAGAAGTGTGCCTATTGAACCCACCAGCTGATGTGGCAAAAGAAGTGACTTTTACCTAAACTTTGAGCGCGTAACTACTTAAATATGATACTAATATTTTTTTCCTTTTTTCCTTTCTTTTTTATCCGTCATCTCCTTTCTCTGTCTAACACTCACATCAGATGTGGCCGGCGACATCGTCGATAGAGAGCACTGCAACAATTTTGAAGATGACCTAGTTTTGTGAAGGTGATGTTAAAGGGACGGTGGTCTTGAATTGACTGTCTGGTAATTGTCGATGATGCTCCCAAGAGATGGTGGTGAAGATGCAGTGTATTTGGTGGTGTATGATGGCCGAAAGAGACGATGGTTTAAGGTGAAAGCACAGTAAAAATACATCTTGGTAGTGAAATGATCTTAATGGGTTACATGGTTTGCTCAGATGGTTTAATTACCGGAGAAGATGAAGGCAATATTGATGCAACAATGGAGGTAATTATATGAAATAAAAAAGCAATGGTGGTATTGGTGGCGAAGAGGTGTTGGCAATGGAGTTAAGGTGGAGTTTTTAATTAGAAAATGTGATTCTTTTTTCACAAAAATATTGATTGTTTAGCTTAATTAGAATATAGAGTTAATATTGGAACCATTCAAGCTTCTGAATTTTTCCATTGAAAGAGAAGCTATTGATTGTTTGGTCGGAAGGCGGAATACATTGACATCACGGGGAGGGGGCGGAATAGCAGTGGGGTTCTTTTCTCTTTCTTTTGTTTTTTATTTTTTCCTAAGGCATTTTTTTTAGATTAAAAAACCATGTGGCTTGTTTTTATTCGTTAATTTTGCTATGTCATGTACGTACAATTTACTCGCCTAGTTTTACTTTCACACATTATGAGAGGTATTAAATAGGTACACTTCTACTGGGTTAAAGTGTTCAATAGGTACAAGTCTTAGTTGGAGTGTTTAAATAGAATTTGGGACAAACTTTAAGGGGTTGTCTATGTATTTGGCCATAGTAATACGTTGCATAATTTACGGATGAAAATTTCTCCATTCTTTCATCCTTTCATCATCTATACACACTATTAATAATACAAATACTATATGTTAGTATACAATATACAAAATATTATATATATATANATAATACATAATAATATACAATATATATGTTATGTATAATTATACAATATACAGATATTAATTACTTGCAAAAATACATAAAATAATTTTAATATAGTTTGCCTTTTAAGTTATAATAAAGTATTATACAATATCCTACATACAATATATAATATTTGTTTACCTGTAAAACGGTACAGTTGAATTCATATGTAGTTTATAGATAAGTGAATTAATTTGATCCAAAAATAACAGATGAATTAAACAAAAATATAAGACTTAGCCTTAAAATTGAGATAAACGGCACATATCTTAGTTCCGGGCATAGAACTACCGAGAGCAATAAGAACATTGCAAGTAAGCAAGAAAGTAAAATGTTATTTGAGCTTTTGATGAAGTATAGTATATGCTTGTCAGAAAATTCGTGTCTATAAAATGATGAAAGAACTCACTATTTATAGTTATACCTAGGGAACAAGGTCCTAAGATCAAGCTCCTTTTTAATGACAATTATGAGGGCCATTAAAGAATATGTAACGGTGGGCAGTGAATGCCATATTCTCTATAACGGATCATGCACTTAATGTTGTGCATTGAATGCTACCGGATGGCGGCATTTATTTTGTCTTTATGAGTATCATTCTCTCTGATGACAAGGAAAATCATTGCCTTCGGGTTTGGCTATCTTCTGTCTTCGGTTACACGTGCCGCTTTCTCATGCGATCATTAAATATGAACATATTTTATCCCATACAGATAGCCCCCCTGCTTTCCGATGGCATAACTTTGTGTCGTCGGGAAGTTGGTAGAGATACCTTTCTTGGCGGAAAATTCTCTGACACACTCTAAAATATTTTTGACGGTTGATTAGGCGTACGTCTCTCTGCATTTAATGCCCCGAACACGCGTCATCCCACGATTCAACATCACTTTTTCCGGTTATCGAGGTAATTATGGCCACGATTTTAGCCGCCTATTCCTTTACTTATACGCATCAAACTTCTTCATTTACACTTCATAATTCTATAAACTTTCTCAAACTCTCTTTACTCAACTCGTACTTTGTTCTTCAACCTTTCTTTAACCTTCTTCTTGAGAAAAAACCTTCCTTTCTTTCTGATAAAAAATGGCCTATTCTTCCAGAAACCATAGTTCTTCAAAGAACAAAGGTAAAGTTGATGATGCTGCTCCTCCTTCGGTGAGCTCCATCATCCCAAAGAGTCTTGTCACAACTAAAAACTTTGAATAGGAGTATCCTTCTGCTCACCCTCGTACGTGGCCCGTTACCGTATACGCTTGTTTCATCCGTCCTTTCAATATTTCTGTTGTGAAGGAAGACTGCAATTGTCAAGATTTAGACATTATCGCTTGTAAGACCCCAATATTTTAAATAAGGACATATTAGATATTTAGCAACAAAAAAAAAAACCAATAAAACAAAACAAAACAAAAAAAAGGGAAAAGAAAAAGATAAGGAATTGAAGCAAAAAGGGCCGAAGCACATTGAAAACCCCTATCTGCCAAATTGAAAAGGGATTAGGGGAAGGGGAACGAAGCAAAAACGCTTCAGGAAAACGAAAAAAAAAATACGAGCAAGGAAAGGACGAAAGAAAAGAGAAAAGAAGGAGGAAGAAGTTGGTGCAGTCTTGGTACCGAAAAATAAAACTCACACCCAACTGGATTTTTTTCATATTCTTGCGTCTCAATGATAAGGTAATTATATGTATTCTTCCTTCTTTAGAAAACACTATTATTTTATTTATATGATTCCTTATGGGACTGAATAGATATGAGGTTGGGATCGAACTAAGAGTTTAAAAGATAAAGTTAAGGAAATTTTGAGAAATTCATGAGACTTTTCAGTGAATTAACTGGGTATATTATATGAATGAGTTGTCTTTAATAGATTTTGAATTGGTTTAAGTTAACTGTAGCAGTGAGTTGGGATACTGAAATGGGTCTTGATATTTCAAGTAGAATAGGAGGGATTTGTTGAGTTATTATAATTCGGTGAATTAAGAGCTAAATAAGAAACTCTGAGGATTTGGGTATTCTAAATTAGCTATGAATTGGCCTAAACATGGAAATTAACATGAGATCGATATTATGTAATTATAGATTGATTGGAAAAATTTGTACGAATTGCTCGAGGTGAAGCATTTGGTATTTCGGCACGAGTACTGTGAGTAGTAATCTTACCGTATTTTATGTTTTCATAACTTGCATGATTTACACATAATTTTTAATATGAATATGTTATCGATTATTTTGAGTTATATGTGGGACAAGTCTTTTACTCGGTATGATATCGAAATGGTTATTTAAGATGATTACCGTTGTTTTAAATATTTTCGTTGTCACTAGATCTATTTTACCGTTACTTGAATTTACTATTATCGAAATAAAATTATATGATTTGATAAGAACCGAAATGCCCTATATTGTTTTAAAATATTTTCTACGAGTATATACGGATTACAGAGACAAGTATAAACGGGAGTAGACATTGAAGGATCTTGTAGCTAACGGCGGGTTCGTTAGACCCGGTGCACCTTGTAATTATAGATTATCGTTACAGCCCTTGCTAGTGGGAAGATAGAACTAGCATACCGTTACTGATTTCCCTCGAGTAGGGACTACCGTTATATTTGACTTCTTGCGAAGAAGTCCACAGTTTTATCGATTATATGATCCGTTCATTGAAACCTCCCAAATGTGAATATTGATATTATACAGTGGTTACCGAGCTTATTACTGAATTGTTAATTGTATTATACTACAAGAAAAATATGATGAGACTGAAAATTATTTATTGTTTCTGAAATGGCATTCTTATGATATTTTCTATTTAATATACTAGCATATTTCTGACTTATCCCCAATAAAAATGATTGTGGTTAAGTGTTATTACTCACCAAGCTAGCGACTCATTCCCCGCTAATTTTTTTTACATAGACAACAGTTGACGCAGGAGAGAATTTCGTTAATTAGAGCGCACGTGTTGATAGTTCTTGGTGAGTCTCGCACTTGTTCGCGTGGGCGGCAATTTTATTTATTGTTATGGTCTTTTCTTTGAACTCTTAGAGTCGCTCCATAGTCATTCTTTTTATAGTCTTAAGTATTCTTTTGTTATTATAGACTTATGTTGAGTATCGCTCATTCTTATCAAAGTTGGAGATAAAGTAATATTTTTAGTTGTTAGTGGGTGGACTATTAATGGTAGATATTTATTTTGGTTAATTAATAAAGTCATTGTCATTTGAATTGATATTAGGATGTTTGGTTGTTGATTTGAGACAGTAAAATTTTTGGGATAGTCCAAAAACAAGGGAAACTCTGTTCGATTTTCTGTAAAATAACGACGAGGCTTACTTGGGGGCACTTTCTCCTAAGTGCCGGTCATGATCCTAAATTGGGTCGTGACATCGCTCTTGACCTAGCAGAGCGGATAACCTTACCCAAGAAGGGCTTTGCGTATTTTTATACGTATCCCTTCAATTTGGAACCATTCTCTTTGAGTGGAGAGCTTGACTCCATCATCGTGGAGTTTTGCATCCGCTACCAGGTATGCCTGGCACAAATATGTCCTTCTGTGTGGAGGATTGTCGCCT